TAGCCATGGTAAATGTGGGTTACAGGGATTGTGAGGGGAAAGGGTCTGAATGTGATGCTCTTCGCGGGGGGGTGGGATGTCATTGCAGATTCGATGGGCCGAATGGCCTCTATCTGCACTGTGGGGATTTAAGGGGGAAATCACTGGTTGATGAATCAGGAGCAGGAATACTGGCAGTTTCCCTCTACTCCAAGCACTCCCCTGTCAGGATAGTACAAACTGCAGATGCTGGAGAATCCGAGACAACAAGGTGCCGAAACGTCAGCCTTTCTGCTCCTATGATGCTGCTTGGCCTGCTGTGTTCATCCAGCTCTGCACCTTGTTGCCCCTGTCAGGATAGCCCTGTTTTACATCAAGTATTAGAAAGTAGAATGAGTGCAGCATCATAGACAACATGGAACAAGCACCCACTCAGCCTCCTGGGATAGGGCTAGGGTTTGCTGCTGATGAGGTCTGACAGGTTCTGCTGGTTCTTCAGCTGTTGAGTAAAGTGACACAGTTTCCTTACTCACTCAGTATTGCACAGCTCTATTTATAGACCAATGTTATCTTGTTCCCCTGACCTCTGAGAAGTAAACAGAGGAAACAATACTTTATTTCCCCTCAGGAAATGCTAGAGATTCCGAGTACATTAGCTTGCGATTGAAACACGATACTGTCCCTCCAGCTTGCAATTCTGTCTGAAATACTGGACTCGTACCTGTACTAGATTACATTGTTGTACCTGTAAACGCCATAGGCCTGCTTAAAGGGGTCGTCTGCAGTGCTCAGAGAACACGGAGGGAAATCAGCAAATTCACAGAGGAACCAGAATTGTTGCCATAGTTACAACAGCCAAGATCAATTGATTAAGCACAGGCTGAAGGAGGAGGCCTGATCTCTATTAGCAACCATATGACAAGGTGTATTTATCCAGCAGTGGGGGAGGGGTATTCAGCTAGTGCCCTCAGAGGAAATATCTCTCATACTCAACACAGAGTCATAGAACTGTACAACATTGAGACAGATCCTTTGGTCTAACTTGTCCATGCCGACCAGACAACCTAAATTAATCTAGTCCTATTTTCCAGCATTTGGCTCATATCCTTCTAAACCCTTCCTATTCATATATCCATCCAAATGCCTTTTAGTTGTTGTAATTATAACAGCCTTCACCACTTCCCTGGCAGCTCAGCGTGAAAAAGTTGCCCCTTATGTCCCTTTTAAATCTTTCCCCTCTCACCTTAAACCTATGCCCTCTAGTTTTGGACTCTGCTACCCTGGGGAAAAGAACTTGGCTATTCACTCTATCTATGTCCCTCATGATTTTATAAACTTCTATAAGGTCACCTCTCAGCCTCCGATGCTCCATGGAAAATTGCCCCAGCCTATCCAGCCTCTCCTTCTGGCTCAAATCCTCCAATCCTGGCAACATGCTTGTAAATCTTTTCTGAAACTTTTCAAGTTTCACATCATCCTTCCTATAGCAGGGAGATCAGAACTGATCACAGTATTCCAAAAGTGGCCAAACCAATGGGTTGTACAGCCGTAGCATGACCTCCCAACTCCTATACTCAATGCACTGACCAATAAAGACAAGGATACCAAATCCCTCCCTCACTGTGCTGTCCATCTGCGAACCAACTTTCAAGGAACAACGACCCTGCACTCCAAGATCTTTTTGTTGAGCAACACTCACCAGGACCTTACCATTAACTGTATAAGTCTTGCCCTGATTTGCCTTTCCAAAATGCAGCACCTCACATTTATCTAAACTAAACTCCATCTAATGATGGCCATACTGTCCAAGGCTTAGGTGTTCAATGTGTGTTGTAGAAGGGAGTAATAGACACATTGGATTATACAAAGGGGAAAGGAGAGTGTGTCTAAATGCTTGCTGATCCTGTCAACTTTGCATACCTAAGGCTCTCTGAACATCAAGTTTCACATTTTTTAAAAAACAGAGATAACAAGGTGTAGAGCTGGATGAACACAGCAGGCCAAGCAGCATCAGAGGAGCAGGAAAGCTAACGTTTCAGATCTGGACCCGAACCGTCAGCCTTCCTGCTCCTCTGATGCTGCTTGGCCTGCTGTGTTCATCTCAGATTCTCCAGCATTGGCAGTTCCTATTATCTTTTAAAAAATAGTCTGCTTTTTTACCCTTAAGACCAAATTGAATAAACTCACACCTCCCCCCCCGTTACTGTCCATCTGCCATTGTATTGCATTTATATAAGGCTTGTTTTGATTTTGGAGTTGCCCACCCAATTAACCTTATTTTATAAGTTCATTTACAGGATTCACAGCATTTATTGCCCAGGGATTTATACGTCAGCCAGACCAGGTAAGAATGGTAGTTAAGAGAGATAGTAGGAACTGCCGATGCTGGAGTTTGAAATAGCAAGGTGTAGAGCTGGATGAACACAGCAGGCCAGGCAGCATCAGAGGAGCAGGAAAGTTTCCTGCTGGTTCCTGGTAGCTTCCTTCCCTGAAGGACATAAGTGAACTAGATGATTCTTTCCCCCAACAATTGACAATAGATTTATCATCATCATTAGACTTTTAATCCAAGGATTTGATTGAATTCAAATTCTACCATCCGCTACAGTGGGATTCAAACCCGGGTCCCCAGAACATCACCTGGGTCTCTGGTTTAATAGTCTACGAATAATACTAGGCCATCACCTCCCCTCTCTGCAGCTTCTCTGTCCCACTCGCTGTCTTCCTTTTCCACCTAACTTTGTTTTGGTAACAGCTACAGATTGACAAACTGATGCAAGGCGTTAGCAATAGAATAACAACCTGCAGCTGCTGTTCTCGGAAGTTAGCTCTAGTCCAAGCTTCGTCACAGCAAGCAGTTACCAGGAACGCAGAGGAAACATTTCAAGGACTCCCGCAAAGCTGCCCCGTCAAAAAAAAAATGCGACATCTTCACCTGTCTGCCGAGGATGGCACAAACTGGAGAAAAACCATCCATGAAAGCATCAACAATTTTGAGCATCTCCGACAGGCCCAGTTACAAACTCTGGAATGAGGGTGAGTAAACCTGAGCAGCCCAACTCTTCAAACATTGTTTATCCCATGGGCAGTATGGTCTAAGGAACCAGCATTGGACTGTTTCATTAGCTCAGGACCCACAGCACATTGGAGTGAAGAAATGCAACCACTATTCCGAGGATGCAGAAGACAGTGAGCAACATTTCTGGCTAATTACTTATCTCTGACTTTCTGAAGAAGGACTCGAAACATTAATTCAGAAATTCACCAAAGATCCTCAGGCAGCACCTTCCAAACCCACAGCCACTTCCATCTAGAAGGAGAAGGGCAGCAGATACATGGGAACATCACCACCTTCAAGTCACTCACCATTATGACATGGAAATATATTGCCATTCCTTCACTGTCGCTGGGTCAAAATCCTGGAATTCCCTCCCTGATAGCATTGTGGGTCAACTACAGCAGGAGGATTGCAGCGGTTCAAGAAGGCAGCTCACCACCACCTTCTCTAGGGCAACTAGGGATAGGCAAGAAATGCTGACCCAGCCAGCGACAGCCACCTCCCACAAAATCAATAGAGAAAAAAAATTCTGTTTCTCTCTCCACAGACTCTGCCACAGCTTTGGGTTTCTCCACTGCTTTCAGCTTTTGTTCCAGCATCTGCAGTATTTTACTTTTATTTATCTCTTTTGCCCATTTCTGCTGAAATGAAGGAAGACTTGCTCAACAGTGGACATCTCAAAAGAGCTTTACAGTTAATGAAGTATTTCTGAAGGGTAACGTGCAAAGTCCACATCCAAGCTGTGCACAGAAAGCTCCCACAACCAACATTGCAGGAATGGCCAATAATCTGTTTTCATAACGTTGATTGGGGGATATTTGTTGGATGGGAACTGGGGATAACTCCTCTGGTCTTCTTCAGCACAATACTACCAGGATCTTTTACATCTACCCAAGCATGCAGACAGCTTAAAGTCTCACCCAGAGATAGCAGCCCTGGCAGGATTATGCTCCCTCAGCACTGGGGTGTTAGTGTTGATGTCTGGGCTCAATCCCTGGAGTGGGACTTGAACCCAGAACCCTGTGCTTTAGAGTTAAGAGCCACAAGCTAACAAGTGAAGCCAATAGTGGTAGTTCTAGTCCCACCATAGCTGAATGCCTAACTCTGTAAAGCCACTTAAGAACAGAGATTGAAAGAACCATATCTTTGCTATGTATTAACTCGCTACTCACAGGGTATAGTGAGAAAGCGGGAACATTGCTTTGAGACGGAGGATCAGCGACGATAATATTGAATAGCAGATCAGATGCTATTCAAAAAGACTGAATGGCCAATTTCTGCACGTAGTTTCTGTGAAAAGTTGGTGAACTGCAGGACTAAGGTACAAAATACATAGTCAGCTTACACATCCCATATTGAAGTGGTCTCATCCCTGTAATTTGCTGTGTTTAGGCACAGACACAATCTATGTGTGCATTCTCTATTCCCAGTCCATTGCTGGAAAAGTGTACAAATATTCTGATCTGGATAATCTTGCCTATACTTGATATTCCCCCTTCTCCTGTTCTTTGCATTCAATTGCTTAAGTGACCTCAATTTAAATGCCACATTTCTGACCCAGAGATAGGTCTTTTCCCCACAGTGGGGAAGTCCAAAATTAGAGGGAATTAGGTTTAAGGGGAGAGGGGAAAGATTTAAAGGGGACCTAAGGGGCAACTTTTTCACGCAGAGGGTGGTGCATGTGTGGAATGAGCTGCCGGAGGAAGTGGTGGAGGCTGGTACAATTACAACATTTGAAAGGCTTCTGGATGGGTACATGAATGGGATGGGTTTGGAGGGATATGGGCCAAATGATGGAAAATGGGACTAGATTTATCTGGGATATCTGGTCAGCATGGATGAGTTGGACTGAAGGGTCTGTTTTCATGCTGTACATCTCTATGACTGTATTTGATACGAGGAGCAGTATAGAAACTTCCTAATTTTGTTCGAGAAGGTTTGTGAAAGAAGCAAACAACTGGAGCACGCAATGTAAAGACGAGTTTATTTTTAACAAAAAAATTGTAGCATTAAAGTAGCAACATCCCCTGTGGTACAACACAGTCAACACAATTATCTAGATGTCTTGGCTTTACCTTAGCATTTTTCTTAGTGTTTGGACACCTTTGCTGTCTAGTTACATCCTAATGATTCGTTTCATAACATTTGTGAAATGGCTTCCTTTAAGAAACACACTAGGATAACGGCTTAAAAATATATAGTGATTATTCAAAGCAAGGGCAACAAAAGGATGCTTCGTGCATTCCCTGGAAAAAAGCTTAAATAACCCAGAAACTCTGAATTTCACACATCATTGGGTAAGACAGACATACTGTGCAAATCAGTTGTACTATTCAAACATGGATTTTGCTGGAAATAGCCACAATTGCTGCATTAAATTAAAAATGCAGTGACTCTACAACACTATGCAACACAAATATGGAATATTAGGGTAACTGGACCTTTTACAGTTTGTTGTATTTTCGACCAGGAGACTGAAATTGGGAGTAAAGACCTTTAATAACATGAGGTTAGGATTTACTCCTCCTTATTTTCCTTACAAAGGAGACAGAAGAGAAAAGCCCCCATGAATCTGGTTCTCAGCTGTTCAGTGATGGATTGTCACGTTCTACCTTACTAACCATACCCAATGTTAATAGGTGCTGGTCAGGACACAGGAAGGAGAGAAGGATGTGCTAAAAGTTATATCAAATAAAGGTAAAAGGAAGCTCATGTAGAGCCAGTGTCAGTCTGTCAGACCAAAATGGCCTGTTTCTATGCTGTAATCCATTGTAACCAGAAAGTTTATTCTGAGTGAAGGGACAGCAGACAACTACTTTAATAACAACACAACATGGCAAATGCAGAAATGTATATTAATGTTACATTCACACAAATACTCATACAGGATTATTGATAATTACTTCAAAGTTGCATTGCTGAATGCAAGCTTGGAACCTCAGCTTGCAAGCGTGATTGATCTACTCTACGTAAATTTAACTATATTCTAACAGTGACAAAATAAATACAAAAAAAACCAAAATCTGTTACACAAGTGACAATGGGATGCCTTTTTCACATCCTCTGATTGTTTCTCATGTATATTGCTTAGATTCAAGGGATGACCTCTATACTGATGCAAATTATTCCTCAGATTTCACAGCAAAACATGCAATTGATATATTAAAACATAACAAAATCTAATTGTAAAACATGTGAAAAAGCACAAATACTAAATGCCACAGAACATTTATCCACTGTTTAGAAAGTGTATTCTTTGGCTAACATAGGAATATAGGTACTTAAATTATTACAAACTATTTCTATTAAACCAACTTGTGCCAAATAAACCAACTTTTGAGTTCACCAAAAATGAAAAATTATTGCTGAGCTCAGAGTTATTTAAAAACTTTAATCTTATAAAAAGGCCATATTTTCCTCTTTTGCAGAGGATACTCGGCTCACATAAAAACTGCAAATGGACAATTCTGTTTTCAAAGTTTCAATCAGGAATTGAAAGCAAGTTGCCAGTCACAACACACCTATTTTGCTTCTATTCACATAAAATGCAAGCATCCAAATCTTTATAAGTTTAATTCACCTCCTCACCTGACTTGGATTTTTTTTTATATAAGCTAATTCAAGGGACGTGGGCATTGCTAACCAGGCCAACATTTACTGCCTATCCCTAATCCCAGACAGCAGCTAAGAGTTAACCACATTGGTCAAAATAACACAACCAAAACATTGACCAGGCTAGGCTTCACCCTTGGTACACATAGTAGGCTGCCAGGAATGGATCTGATGCCCAGCCAGAGACAGGAATAGCACCAATTGCTGGCTTACTGCTTATGAAAGTATGAAGCCCCTGGTAAATATTCCAACTCAGCACTCAGAAATTTTGAGTCCCGTATAGGCAATGAATACATAGTAGAAAAGGAGAGCAGTGGAAGCAGGCAATGACATAGATATTACTAGACATAGATATTACAGAAGCAGGTCAGCATTACCAGTAATGATTGATTTATTGACCTCATGATAAATAAGATTTGAGAGGAACCCTGTAACAAGTTCCATGATTTGAAAAATTGTAAAGTAATGAAAGGAGTATCATGATCAACATAAAGATGGAATTAAGGCTTAACAATTGCGTTTAACAATGAAAGTCTCAGGATTGGGAACATTTTAAAATGCAGCAAAAGATTGGGAAAGTAGTGCGTGAGAGTTAAATTGCCAGGGACATAGAAAGTGATGGTAAAAGCTTCCAAAAATATATAAAAAGAAAAAGATGAGTAAAGATAAATGTGGGTTCTTCATAGTCAGAAGCTGGGGAGTTACAAAAGCAAGCAAAAAAATAGTAAAATACATGCTTTGGTCTGGCTTCACAAATAATCTCCCAGAAATGTTAGGGAAGCAAAGGTCCAATGAGAGGGTGGTATTGAAGGAAATCAGTATTAGCAAGAAAATGGTGCTGGGGAAATTAATATGGTTAAAGGCTGACAAATTCCGAGAGTTTGGTAATCTACATCCCAGAGTACTGAAGGAAGTGGCCTTGGAAATATTGGACGTATTGGTGATCATCTTGCAAAGTTCTATACACTTTGGAAGAGTTGCTACAGATTGGAGGGGTCAAGTGTAACCCCACTATTTAAAAAGCGAGGGAGAGAAAAAAAAAAAAAATCAGACCAGGTAGAAATACAGGTCCATGGAGTAGAAAATTGTAGTAACAAAGTACATGCAGTAGTGGGGAAATGCTAGAGTATATTATAGAAGACGTGATAACAGAACATTTGGAAAGCACTAACAAGACAGGACAATGGTAACATGGGTTTATAAAAAGTAAATCATACTCAAAAAATCCATTATAGTTTTTTGCAGATGTTGCTAGTAGTGTATCTGGATTTTCAGAAGGCTTTTGATAAAGTCCCTCATAAGAGGTTAGTGGGGAAAGGTAAAACACATGGAATAGGGGATAATACATTGTCATGAACTGAGAATTAGTTGACAGATGTGAAACAGACAGTAGGAATAAATGGTTCATTTTCTCAGTGGAAAGCAGTGACCAGTGGGGCCCTATTATGATCAGTGCTTGGACCCCAACTTGTTCTTATTACATATACCCAGATGAGGAAATCAAATGCTACATTACCAAGTTTACTGACGACACATAACTAAGTGGGAATGTGAGTTGAGAAGGATGCAAGGAGGTCACACAGTAATTTAGACAAATTGAGTGAGTGGGCAAACACATTGACAATGCAGTACAATATAGCTAAATGTGACATAATATACAGTGATGTGAAAACCAAAAAGGAAGAGTGTTATTTAAATGGTGCCATGTTGGGAAGTGTGGATGTAAAAAAGAATCCGAGTGTCTTTATCAATGAAAGCAAACAGGCAAGTGCAGCTAACAATTAGGAAGGAAATGGTTTATATTGACCTTCTGGCAAGAGGACTTGAGTTCAGAAGTAAGGATGTCTTACTGTAGTTGTACAGAGCTTTGATGAGGCCACATCTGGAGTTATGCACACAGTTTGGTCTCTCTACCTAAGAAAGGATATAGTTCTTATAGAGAAAGTGCAGGGAAGGTTCACAAGGCTTATAGCAGGGATGACAGGACTGTCCAATGAAGAGAGGGCTGTATTTACTAGAATTTAGAAGGATGAGAGGGGGATCTGATTGAAACGTACCAAATTCTAGCGGGGCTGGACGCACTGGATGCAGGGAGGATGTTTTCACTGGCTGGGGAGTCTACGACCAGGGGTCACAGTCTCAGGATATGGGGTTAACTTTTTAGGACTGAGATGAGGAAACATTTCTTCACTGTAAAGGGAGTGAACTTGTGAAGGCTGTAGAGGTCAAGTCACCTAGTATAGTCAAGAAAGAGACAGATGTATGTTTAGATTTTAAAGACATCAAGGGGTATGGGGAGAAAGTAGGAAAATGGCAATGAGATAGAGGGTCAGCCACGATCATATTAAACAGCAAAGCTAGCTCGAAGGGTTAAATCGTCTGCTCCTACTCCTAGTTTCTGTGTTAATGCAGTAAAAGTGGTAGTTAAATAAATAACTGCAATGGCAGATGGCACACCTAACGTGATATGAAAGGCAAACGTGTCTTACATGATTAATAGAAAAATGATTTATCACACAATACTCAAATGGAGAATTGCATTTAGATGCTGATAATGCCAATGCCATCTTCATGATAAAAGGAAGAACCCTGCTTTTCAGGGACCACATTTGTCACAGCAGCGAGTATCAGCAGTATACAGGCACCTTTCTGAATGCGCTCCCCATGTGCAAGAACTCACCAATGCGGAGCTCAAGTCATGAAATTCTGAATGTAACATTCACCAGCCGACATACACCCAAAATGCACGCATAGCCATGCACGTCCACCATTCAGATCGAGGAAGAAGTCAGCCCAGGTTATTAGCACACAAGGTTTCCCTTTAAGGCTAACCATTGTAAATTCATTTTACCTTGGGAGCTAGATGCAGAATCAAAACAGAAGAGCAGGTTGATATCTTCCTCTGCCTTGCCATCACTTTATTATTATTTCACATAGCATTCAATTTTAAGGTTTTACAGCCAGAGGAAAATATGGCCCTGAGAAATGTTTAGAATCTCTCAATTGTGTCCTCAATGACAGATTTAGCCTTTGAAGGCTATCCCCATGTAACAGTACTGTTATAGCCTATTCCCATAGATAGTATAGTAAAGCAGCGTAGACAGTGTCATCTCATCACACATACATAAGATACAAAGATGCTTACATTAATAAAAGATGCAATTTTTTTGCTAACAAAATTGAAGATTTGTGTTTCAGAGAGTGGGATTGTGCATTAAAACACATGCTTGTTTTTGGTTTGGTTCATTCTGATTGTTTAAGTGATCTAAATCTTACGTTTCTGTTGCAGGCTGGTAGCTGGCCCTGCAGAAATAAGATGATTAATTCTCTACTAATCTATAAGACTTAAGGAATAGCAATCCACATTTTGACATAGCATTACTTCACCCTGAAGCAGCACAGGCAATTCCTAAATGTGTGTTGTATTCCAATAGCTGATAGTCCTTCAGGTGGTCTGGACAATGAAATGGATCATTTCAGTTTTACATCACAGGAATGAACAGTAGTCTCATTATGGAGTCCACACAGAACATTAAACCCATCCCTCCTTTACATGGTGAGAAACTAGTTTTCTCTTCAGGCATTGTTTGTACCTCTTCATTGTTGTTTTCATAAACAGCACACCTTACGTTGCCTTGAACATCATTCAGGAGGCAGAGAGCAAAAATAGAGGTTGACATAATCAAATTTACAAGGCATTGTACTGCAAAGAAAGTTTTCACTGCCTGACAATCGCCTTAATAGCCATCATAGCAACTACTTTTAAAAATTCTCTCCTGGGATGTTGATGTCGCAGCATTTATTGCTTCATCTCTTACTGCCCTGGAGGATGTGATAGTGAGCTGCCTTCTTTACACCACATAGACTGCAGTGGTTCGAGTCATAGCTTTTGGAAATCTATTCAGCAGAAAGACTTTGAAGGCAACGCTTAATGTGGACTGAGAACAAGTAGTGACAGTGCAGTCTCCATCCTGCCTTGTACGGTCCACTCCCTCACTGGGGCTTGACTCAGTTGCTAAAATGCCTACACCCAGTTGCATTCAGAAAACGATCCTTTTCATTTCCAGCTCAAATGCCACATCAACAGGACTTTGCTCCCATTGATTCAGTGTCGTTCAGAGAATGGAAAACAATATCAGCAAAGGACTGAAGTTGCAGTTTTTGAAAAAGTTTTATCGCAAACTATTGGCAGAGAGACTCTTTTCACCACAGAGATTTTCCATATTGGGAGCTTGCCTGTTCATATGAAGAGAAGAGATGGGTTATTGAGATTGACGCGATTAAAAATTAGGTAAAAAATCACCAATCCTCACTTTGCTATAAGTGTTTTATAGAAGCAATCGTTCATGTTAGTAACATGTTGCCATTTTGCCCGTGTTAGTTCAGAACGATCACTAGACTACATAGCATTTGTGAGAAATGATCTGCATAATATACATTCATATTGCACAAAAACTCCAGGTTAATAATTCCTTTATCTGGTGTGGATCTTTAGTCTCAATGTGAAGATTCTCTCTGTTCATTTCTCCTTGTGACATTCTAAAGGAAAGAAGGGAAAACATTCACTAGCTTGTCAGCAGCAAGATCACACCCATCCTTGACATTTGCATTTATTTTAAATTTTTGGTGAAACAGGAAAATAAATCTTCACAGACTCATTTATAGTATTTCCACAGATTTCACCCTGACTAACACAAATGCCTATGGTTTTCACGGCAGAATGTTTAATAAGAACATTTGAGATCTTACGAATTTGCAAGTGGCACTGATCCTTATGTATCAGCTGTACAGTTTGGGGTAGTTAATCCCCAACCCGACCCCACCCCACACAGAGAGATGGATTGTTAAGGCTGGTGGGCTAAGAAATGGGAAAAAAAATCTATCCTCATTTTACTAGAAAAATGTTCGAGAAAATTAATCATTCACGTTAGCAACATGTTGGAAAATATATCACTGTGTCAACAAAGAGCCTTCATTTGAAGCTTGTCATTCAATTTTTAACTGGGGGAAGTGGGGTGGAATCTGAATGTATATTTTGGAAAACAGTCAATGGCCCAGTGGAAAATCAAGCCAACATCAATAAGGGGACCAACTGGAAGTGCCACAGTTGCTGTTCAGAATATTAATTGAGCTGATTGTTCAGTCCAAAAAAAATGCCGAGAATTTGAGCTGAAATATTTTGTTTTAACTAGAAATTGCAAAGGAGTTTGGTATCTATGATCGTTTAAGTTAATTGTTTGTTGTGAGCAGGTTATGCACTTCCAGCCGTTTAAAAGAGCCTTCTAGTAAACAGGATCCTAGTATAAAAGAAATAGCATGAGTTACTCAGTAAAACTGTTAATGCGATATCATGTGCAGTAACCTGTTCCTTTTTATAGTGATGATTGACTCCTGCACGCTGTTAGCTGAACAACAGCAGTTACAAGACCATGCATTTTATTAATTATTTATTATTTCATGGATTGTGGTTGTTCCTAATGAGGTCACCACTTATTACCCATCCCAAAATGCCCACAAAATCTGTGCAGGGGCTTTAGAAGCATGAACATAACCCTGCACTTAGCTGGATTTTTGCCTGAACAGGTCATGAGAGGAAACTGGTAAAAAAAAGAGGACTGGAAGAAATCCAAAGTCTTTAACTGATTGCAGATTTTACAAATATCCCAGTCAGGTACAGTTAAATAATTTAAAAAAAAAACAAACTGCCTTAAGGTGGGGAGGTTCGGGGGCCCCTTATGGTATTGCAAACATTTGATACACAGCCTGCGCTGGCCCAACTTCAACAAATTTGAAACACATTGACAAAACAATGCCACAAACCAGAACTGAACCTCTGTTTGTTTGGGGTAGGTGCTACACTGGAACCTGTTTGCTGCAGCCTAGGTCCATGGTGTATGTTATGACTTACGGATACAGGTATCGCCGGCTAGGTCAGAATTTATTACTTGGCCCAATGGTTTTCAACAAGGTGGCTGTAATCTGCCTTCTTGAACCATGAAGTCCATGCTGATAGAGAGGAGGCTTAGGATTTTGTTGCAGCACAGGATAGTGTGAGATGTGGAGGCAAACTTGCACATCTATCCATGTGTCTGCTGCCCTTGTTGTTCTAGGTGGCACAGCTTGCAGGTTTGGAAGGTACAATCATAGGATTCTTGGTGAATTACTGCAGTGCCTCTTTAGAGATGGTACAGTAATGCCATGGGTGTGACAGTGGTAGGGCCAGTAAACTCTTAAGATGGTGGATGGGCTAACAATGGAGCTTGGGCCTGGCTTGGGTATTGTTGGAGCCAAACACATCCAGGCGAATGGAAAGTTGTCCATGATTACTCTGGATTTTGCTTTGTAGATGGTGGACAAGCTTTGGGGTGATGAGAGGTGAGTTACTCATTACAAAATTCCAGCCTCCCAATTTGCTCATGCATCCGCAGTGCTAATGCGGCCAGTCCAGGTTACATGAGAGAAATCGTGATGTGATTAGGTGACACATGGAGATTTGGTTAGATTTTAAAAGCTTGCACATTGTCGGGTAAATGGGGGTGGGAAGGTAGAGAGGTGGGGGAGGTGTAGTTAAGGAATCCCAGATTTGTTAATGTTGGAAAGAACAAGGTAACTTTTTGAGTTGATAACAAAAAAGCAGCTTGCCCACAAACAGAAAAATCGTAGCTAAAGATGAGATATTTTTAGACCACAAGCAAAGTATTGCATCTAAAGTGTTGGAGCCCAATGACGTAGCCATTGGGACCCCCACTTCTTTGTTTCTTGTCTGGTCATTATCAACACGCATCTCTGGTACCACTGGACTAATTGTACATGTGTCTAGGGCATCTCTAGGACAGCCACAAACAAACACACACACACACGGATTGAAAGCCATACATTTGGTCGGTGCTCTCTCTGCAGCCATGCAAGGTGTTAAAATGTTGGTCCACTGCTGCCATCTTGTTGGGCAGGCTGCCTGCTCTCAGCTGTAAATGCATCCTCTGCACGGAGGGTGGAGGCGTTACTGGAAAATGCCGACTGGTTAATGGTGACCCTCGGGATATAATGGTCATAGGGATTTTCTAACGACTTGAAGAACAAAACAAAAAAAGAGTGAATAAAGACCTTTGAATAAAAAAACGTTAAGAACATGCTGAGGTTATAGTGCGAAGGGAGTCAATAGAAAATAAACAATTTTGTAAATTATTGGCTGTAAATCATCAATGCAAAACAATTATCCATGCACAAATTAAGAAAGCTAATGAATATTACTCAGCTTGCATTTTGTAAAACAATTGAAATTAAAACTATTTCGGCATATCTGAGGGATGTTATTTGTGATTTCTCTGTTAATCTGCATATTTTAGTTCTAGGTATTAAGGCACCATTTTTTTTCCTAACTTTACTTGTCAACTGATTCTCCATGGAATGTACCAATTCCCTCCTGGCCACAGGCAATCAGGAGATCTCATGTGGTTATTGCCCTGGTCTCATGCTGCACAGTTAGTAATCGCAGACATTGGACAGAGTGGGAGGCTGAGGTTCACTACAGCTAAGTTTCACCCTGCCCTTACCCCATATCCAAACTTGGATCACTGCCAGCAGAACTCTGATGGCTCATTCCTCTCCCTGATACATTTCAGGAAACCCTCCCACCTCCACTGTGGGAGTGGTAAACACTGGCCGCACACAGGAAAACCAGATCTACGCGCTGCCTTAAAGGGAGCGGTGCAGGCTGCAGGATTTTAAGACGTACTGAACTGCATAAGACCATAAGACATAGGAGCAGAAATTAGGCCATTCGGACATCGAGTCTGCTCCGCCATTCAATCCTGGCTGATAAGTTCCTCAACCCCATTCTCCTGCTTTCTCCTCATAACCCTTGATCCCCTTGATAATCAAGAACCTAGCTATCTCAGTCTTAAATGTACTCAATGACCTGGCCTCCACAGCCTTCTGTGGCAGTGAATTCCATACATTCACCACTCTCTGGCTGAAGAAATTTCTCCTTATCTCCATTCTAAAAAGGTCTACCCTTTACCCTAAGGCTGTGCCCTTGGGTCCTAGACTCTCCTACCAATGGAAGCATCTTCCCAACATCCACTCTGTCCAGGCCATTCAGTATTCTGTAAGTTTCAATTAGATCCCCCCCTCATCTTTCGAAACTCCAATGAGTATAGTCCCAGAGCCCTCAAAACGTTCCTCATATGTTAAGCTTTCCATTCCTGGGACCATTCTCATGAACCTCTTCCTACATGCTCCTTGGAGTGACACAGTGGCCAACTTGATGGCCAATACTGGCTGCCCCTCATTCACTCAGAGAATGATTTCTGCTGCATCAAAGTCCCAGTAATGGATGCACCCAAATCTCCAAGCTGGAATAGTGTCTGCTTGCAACACGAGCAAAGCTGAGCTTGTCACAGCTGTAAACAAGGCATTCAACCTGTGCCCATCAAGTGTGGGATCAGACCCCACGATTACGACACGTCTCTTTCAATTCCTTCCCAAACAGGAAATTAAAAACCTGTCTAAAAAAATAATTAAGACCAGTTTATTTCCAAACTGGTTACAATGGGTAGACTGCCCGTACACTTGTAATTAATAAATGGATTCAATTTATAAAGCAAAAATTGTGCACTTAAGCTAGCATGCACATTTATTCCAATATCCGTTGAAAATGTAAAAAGAAATCTTGTATTTCTTGCCTTCAAAATGAAATGAGAGGTGAAAAATTGGCAGTGCTCCTGTGATTGGAAACAACTGGAGCCACTGCTATCAGCTGGAGACATTGCAGTATGTAACTCTTGCTGCAATGTTTAACATCAGATATAACCTGCTCGGTCAGAATCTCAGTGCACGAGAGAGGGGAATACCGGAGCTAGCTGACATTAAGATTTTACAAAATGAAAGCACTTGTTTGATATTAAATGTTGAGGCATGTTTGGACTTCACTACAGTATTTCTTTATTCCTTGCCAGCAGAAGTTGGCAGGAGTGATGAGGGGATGAAGGGTGCACAGAAAGGCAAAGAAACAAATTAGGAGCCCAAATTAGGAAAAATAAATCAAGCCTTCGTCAAAATAAGCAGGGAACGTACAATTATCATTGTGCTGCATATAAAAAAAACATTGCAGAAATCTCAAACTGAGTTCTACACTATCGCAGAGCACGAGCAAGAGCTCCCAGCATGCCCATATGTTGATGCAGGTTTTCTCCACACTGTGCCTATTTGTTGCTCTGTAGAGTTTATTGTGATACACTCATCCATGATTCTTTTCTGCTGTTGACGACAAAATGTTCTGCTATTTAAACGTGCCTTCAGTCTTCAGCAGGTATATGGCCATCCTTAAAAGACTGCAGTCTTGTTCAGGCTGAAGTGTCAATGTAAATAGTTAACATAGCCTTCCCTCATTGTAAAGATACATCAAACCCAAGGCTGGTCAAATAAACACAGCAAATAAGCACTTACCCAAGGTCATGTAAACCCTTCCAGCTCAGAGCTATTCTATCAACAGAACACCTGACTAAACATCTGATCCCACTGATATTTTATGTTTCCTTTTAAACAGCAGGAAAAAAAGACAGTTGTTTTTGCAAATTTTCTTTCTCCTGATAGAATTTATTCTAAGAAATCTCTGCGGTTGTACAAAATCTTGTATTAGTTACCGCTCAAGAGGACAGAGCACTGTAACAGGGATACTTTTGGAGATTCATGCTTCTATACCTGTCCACGTTCTTCTTTGTTACGTGGCAGTGCATTTAATATTGTGTAGCAACAGAAACCCACTCAATGTTACCGTTTAAGCAATGAACTGTTCCCTTTGCAGCTTTTTAATGGTGCTCCACTTCCAAGCGTAAAGAGCTTTGTGGGACTGCCATTGGTTCCACTTCTATGGATTTGTAACTCATCTTCCTTCACTCTCCTCCACCTTCAAAAAACGTCTCGGCAACACCATCAGCGAACAATGAATCGTAACTCGCACAATTAGAACTGATGGTGATCAGTTCTATCCATAATCCATCTTCTATCTCCTCTCGTTACCCTTTCCCCGCCACAGTCAGTCTTGCCCCAGAGCCAGGTTCAGACAAATTGAGACTATCTCCTGTTAAACTTCGAGAAGGCTCTAGCCAACTATCTTTACTACTGGCAGACATCTCCCACCATTTTTTTTTAGCGGGGCCACTATCACAGTTTTGCCATTTCTTTATTTGGCCCCAAGACAAGAAGACAGCCCCTCATCCTGCCCACACAAAGACTGCCCAGATGCTACTGTAATATCCCTCACCTCCCCACTTACCTCAGCTCATCAACTACAGCTACAGGTCATCCACTCCTTTATCATTTCAAAGCTTAGCGATTCCTGCCCACCTTTATACCTCTATATCCTTCAGCACATCCAAACTTTTCCTGCCTATATTCTGCCTCCATCAAGTCTCGTTGCAATGGTGACCATGACCTTACTGATCTTGGCTGGCGTCACTGCAGATACTCTCAGTATTAGATTTCTTCACAGTCATACTAATATCTTTTAGGGAAGGAAACAGTCATCCTTACCTGGTCTGGCCTACATGTGACTCCATACCCACAGCAATGTGGTTGGCTCTTTACTGTCCCCTAAGGAATTAGGGATGGGCAATAAATACAGGCCTACTTGCAATGTTCTCATTCTGTGAATGATTTTTAAAAAAAAAGTACCCTTTCCTATCTCAAGTCCTACAAATTTATCCAAAAGTCTCCATTCCTCATGTGGCCTTTGTGGTTTCCCTTACTCTTTCTTGTAAAACTCATCATTGATGGTTGCATCTTCAGTCCGTTCCTAAACTGCTCAAATTTCTGTCCTCCGCCTTCTTCCTTTCCCGTTTAAGCTACTCATTAATTCCATCTGTTTAACCAACTATCAGGTCATTCCTCTCAATATCACCTACTTCATTTTGGGGTCCATTTTCTCCTATTATTCCTTTGTAACGCATCTGTCTTTGTGATGCTGTTCGAGGAATAAATATTGATTAGGGATAATTCCTCTGCTCTTCACTGAAATAAAGCCGGTCAGTGGGATCTTTTATATCCACTCTTAGAGGCAAATAGGGCTTTGATTTAAAGTCTGCAACCAAGAGGTAGTATTTCTGACAATACAGCATTGAAGTAAGACCATGATGATTGTGCTCAGACTCTGGACTGAGGTTTAAACCAGGAACGTGATGCAATTGTATTAGCTACTGAACCACAATTGACACTTATGGGAGTGTCAGATATTATTGACTTTTTCTTGTTTAGTGTCGTTAAACTGAATTATGTTTAAAAAAGCTACAAAAATGGAACACAGCTGGAAACATTTCAAGTTGTGATGACAGCATGACAGAGGATGCTATTAACAGAGGACAATGCACGTCCAAGACAACTTCAGAAGAAAAGAATTGCATCACTGGATGGACTTCAGCTTCAAGATTAGAAGACAGTGTCTCATCTTCCTACACACAACAGGTCAAACTTAATAACATAAAAGTCTGCAACAAAGGTTTCTGACAAGCGCTAACCTGATAAAGACACAGGAGCATCACAAGATGAGAACAGCAGCTAGATGTCAACGTTGATAATGTAACGAGGAAGAGAAATAGATGAATAAAAGCATAATTCATGTGAACCATTAGAGTGAGTACAACTCATTGAGAAAGAACCAGTCTTTAACATTAACTCAAACACAGTCAAAACCTAACATGGATAGCTGGCTCTTTCTGAAACAGATAATTAAAGTCTGTAACTGGACACTTTGTTCAATTCCGCAGATAAAATTACTGATATCATGCAACTATTTTTAGCTGTGTTTCTGGCAAAGACTCACTTTATTGACATTGTAAATATTTTAGTGAAAGTTTTGATACAGATTTTGTTCCTAATTGAGAAAAGTTTATTATAAATGTAGAGTACTGTTGCAACATTAACCTTGGTTTGCTGAACCCACCCATTGTCAAATTCAATTTAAGAACTACAGCCAATGTTTGCTGTGATGCATTAATGGTTTTATGCAGAGGAACCTCCACCCTTCAATCATTTTATCTGCTAAATCCCATACATTCTTTGTTAATATACATTGAAACATTGAGGTGAGGGGAGTTGTCACTGCTTTTCAGATCCAGAATATTTTAATGTTTGCCCATAGATTTCTTTAAAAATAATTTTTAGAAAGCTAATTGCTTTTAATAGCATTTTGCCAGAAGCTCAGACTTCATTATCAGTCATAAAATAATTAAGCATAGCACTAAACATCTACTTTCATCTATTCTCAAAAAGCACAATTAGTAGCTCAGAGATAAAGTCTTCATTCCTGAGCAGGGCAACCCTGGAAGGCAAAAAAGCACAGCCAGTGGTCAGCGATAAATTCTCTGAGGCAGCTTGTCAGTTATATGAGCTCAGGGGGTCAGTTAGCTCAGTTGGCTGGATGCCTGGTTTGCAGTGCAGAACGTCACCAACAGCCTGGATCTGATTCTTGCACCTGCTGAGGTCAACATTGAAGGTCCTGCCTTCTCAAATGTGCCCTTTGCCTGATGTGTGGTGACCCTGAGGTTAAACTCTCAGCCTCTGTAATGAGAGAGCAGGCTCCGGTTTCCTCCCACAGTCCAAAGACGTGCTGGCTAGGTGGATTGGCCATGCTATATTGCCCATAGTGTTCAGGGATGTGTAGGTTAGGTGGGTTATAGGGGGATGGGTCCGGGTGGGATGCTCTGAGAGTAGGTGTGGACTTGTTGGGCCGAAGGGCCTGTTTCCACACTGCTGCGATTCTAAGACCTAAGATCTATAGTGACTTTACCTTTGCACAAATGGTGAACAAGAACAGGCCAAACCCAGGGTGGGGGGAATAACTTGCATTTCTGCACTGTCTTCATCACCTCAGAGCATCCCAAATCTCATTGGAACTTAAAAAAAAAATTTGAACGACTAGGCAGGGAAGATGCGGAAAGAATGTTTTGCCTGGACTAGAACCAAGGGTCACAGTCTCAAAATAAGGATCAAGCCATCTAGTTCTGAAGTGTGAACATGGAACATAGAGCAGGAGCGGGCCTTCAGCCCACAATGTTGTGTCGAACACGACACCGAATTAAACTAATCCTTTCTGCCTGCCCTTGGTCCATGTCCTTCCATCCCTTGCATATTCATGTGCTTATCTAAAAGTCCCTTAAACATCCCTATCATATCTGCCTCCACCACCCAAGCCTGGCAGCACGTTCCAGATTCCTACCATTCTCTGTGTAAAAAAACTTGCCCCTCACGCCTCCTTTCAACTTTCCCCCTCTGAACTTAAAACGCATGCCTGCTTGTATTAGACATTTCAACTCTGGGAAAAAGATTCTTACTGTCAACCCTATCTATTTCTTCATACAGAGGGCACTGAGTCTTTGGAATTCTTGCCCTATCAGGCTGTGGGAGTTCAGCCATTGAGTATGTTCAGAACAGAGACAGATGGATTTCTAAATATTAACGACTTCCGAGGGAAATGGAGATAGCTGGGAATATGGCATTGAGAGGATGATCAGCTGTGAGCTAGACTGGCAGAGCAGACATGAGGGACTGAGTGATCCACTCTTGTTCTTACGTTTCTTTGTTCAAAATGTTTCATAGCCAGTTATGTATCTTGGAAGTTACTACTGAAAAGTGGGAATTGCAGCAGTCAATTTGTGCAAAGCAAACTCCCACAAACAGCAATAAGATTACGGTAAAAATAATCCCCTGCAATTCTTCAATTGTGACCTTATTGAGGTTTGTAAAATCATGAGGGGCATAGATAAGGCAAATGATAAGGGTCTTTTCCCAAGGGTGGGAGAGTTCAAAACTAAGAGGCATATTTTTTAAGGTGAGAGGAGAAAGCTTTAAAAAGGATATGATGGGCAACTTTTTTTTTAAACACAGAGTTGTTTGTGTGCGGAATGAACTTCCAGAGAAAGTGGTGGATGCAGGTACAGTTACAACGTTTAAAAGACATTTGGATATATTCATGAATAGGAAAGGTTTGAGAGGATATGGGCCAAGTGCAGACAGGTAGGACTAGTTTAGTTTGGGAACATGGTCAGCATGGATTGGTTGGACCCAAGGGTGGGGGTTTCTGTGCTGTATGACCTTTTACGTTCACATGAAAAAGCAGAAAAGTTGGACCTTGTTTTACATCTTTTCCAATGGCATCTCTGACAATGCAATACGTTATTAATTGGCAGAATGTGGTCTGTTCTAGTTTCTGCTAAATGCTGATCATGTAGTGGTAATTTTACACAGAATAGGCAGATTGATTAAAATTAGCAACTCCCAGTCATTAACTATTGTGCAGCTTTCTGCAAATTTAATCCTTCTGTTTTATTTAAACACTAACTCATTTTGATATAATGTGAAGGCACAACGTTACTCTTAAATGTCACTCTGTCTTTTGAAGGCATTAGTGTAGAACCTCTGATGGTGAGGTTCATGGTATGTTCACTTAATGGACCTTTTTCTCAACACAGGAAAGCATTAAACATTCATATGCAAAATTTGCCAATAAGAGTTTATATTTTCTTACTGGAGTACTACTCCTGGATGACCTCTGGCAAGAATCAAGAGAGAGTCTAGACAGCAAGGAGATAATTTAACAATTAAGGCCAAATTCAACTAAACTCAAACTGATTCTCACTCAACATTCAGAAACGATGAGTTCTAGGAGATACTTTTGGATAGTAAATCAGGACCAAGATCCTGGATGCTTTTCTCTGACTTCCTCTAGTCCAGAAGTAAAGTCTAAACTGGAATATGCCTAAATTGGGAAGAGTTGAATAGCAAACTTCGGCAAAAAAAGAAGAAAGAACTGCAGATGCTGGAAATCAGAAACAAAAACAAATTGCTGGAAAAGCTCAGCAGGTCTGGCAGCATCTGTGGAGAGAAATCAGGTTAACGTTTCGGGTCCAGTGACCCTTCCTCAGAGCAGCAAACTTCAAACATTACTGGTTACTGAATTAACGAGGATTATTTTTGTATGTGTGCGCAGCCCACCAAAAACTCCAGATATAATAGGTCCAAACATGTCACTTTTTTGGATAAACCATATCTGCCAGCAGGAAGGAGTGTTCATGCTTTTCACCCTGCACATCAGAGTACTGTGCAACATAATGAATGTGAGCTACAGTGCGATGAAAGTAAAAAAAAAAGGTATATTTGTGCTGCTCGATTTTCTTAAATCTACTTTTTAAACTCAAAACAAGTAGACTCTGGTTCTCCAGTTACAACCAACATTCTTTTTAAACTTCCAGCTAATGATTAACATGTTAATAATTCTTTTTTAAGTGTGCAAGTGCTGGTAAATTCACTGTGGGACCATATCAATAATAAATTCAAAGGCTGTCTTGTGCAGGAATAGCTTGTGTGAGTCATATTAACCAATCACACCTTTTTAAACCATTGTTCTATTACAGTACATTGTTTGACGCACATCCAGACACAGGACAAGAAACCTTGTGGTTAATGTTTTCAAAATGCCTATAAACTGAGATAACTTACGTTGGTTTTGTTCATCAATGCCATTTCAGTCGGCTGATATACACTGTTGCGAAGCTGTCCATTGTAACCCGTGTAACCTGTGTAAGGTGATTTGGGCTTGTTTGCTGGGAAAATAAATAGACAAAGTCACACTGCTTTTTCCTTAAGCAAAACAATTGCCCAGTTTATTTTAAAATTCATTTGGCTCTCGGGCAAGTTTAACTCAAGTAATTTAATCATTACAAGTTCAATTCCCAAAGTGTGCCAAGTGTGCTGAACGAGGAGTGACAGGAATGCTGCAATTGACCCTTGTATTCTTAAGGTTTAAAAATTGCCCAAACTTTCCATCTGATGGTTATCCATCAGCCCCTGCTGGATGCTGGGGTCTGGGACAGGTGAGATCTCTCTGCCCTTTGTCAGCGTACTAGAATTCATTACGGCAGCTCCGAAATAAATAATGGCCACTGGGATCAGCTCTTGGACAATACCCAACACTTTCGCTTTCACTAGAATGCAAAAGAATGCTGCTTTCAGCAACATTGAAAAAGCCATCCTTATTTGTCCACAGAAGACTGTGATGGGTTTTCTTCTTAAAATAACTTAGGGGCTTACAAGGCCATTTCACAGGGCAGTTAAGAGCCAACTGTGTTGGTGTGGGGCAGGAATCACAGAGACCAGATGGTGCAAGAACAGCAGGTTTTCATCCCTTAAGGAAATTAGCAAACTAGCTGGGTTTTTGCAACTATTCCAGAAAGGTTTAGCTGTCACTTTTAGGGAAGCTAGCTTTTAATTTCCAAACTTTGAAAAATGCCATGTAGTCCGAATTTACATTCTTTGAATTGGGTTGAGAGTTAGGATGGTCAGACCAACAATGTGTAAGCTAGAATAGCTAAGAGGTGAGTTTTGTATTTACCTGCTCACTTTGAGTTAATCTTTTCTGGTAATAATCATTTAGTTTAAAGCATGGTTGGAGTGTCCTTCTCTTTGATACGGGATCCTTGCTGAGGGGCAGGAAAGCAGCAAGAGACGCTGGTAAAAGCAAATGAGGAATTCTTTGCACATGGAATATTTTAAGATTAAAATGTGGTCTGCTCTCATTTCCATGAGAACTATTTAACTTGCTAATTTCAGCATTGAAAGAAAGACCAGCTATTTTAAAAAAAAAATCGTGGTTTGGTTTTGTTCTATAGATTTTATCCCCTCTCATCTTTCCCTCTCTTGCTCCTTCCATCATTTTGAAGATGGGAGGTCAGAGCTCGGTCCTCGTATTTAAATCCTTTTCATAAAAAACACCTTGGGGCTACATTTCTGAAAATTGGACAGTTCAACTCCTTTTAAAGATGGAACACTTTGCTCTGTCCTGTAGCTCAGTGAGGAGCTTATCTTGACACGTTTGAGCAGAAGGAAACTTTGGGACTTGAACTTATAAACTTCTAGTTGTGAAAACATTACTCAATAATTTCAGACAGTAGGTTATTACTTATTGATTAAAAAAAAAAAGTACAAGAATAAAACTCTTGAATACTTGTTCATTCTGAGAATCCCAAAAGGCCCACCTCTTAGGGGAGGCGGTGGGGTAATGGTAATGTCACTGAACCATTAAGCCAGAACCCCAGGCCAATGATCTGTGGTCATGGGTTAGAATCCTTCCATGGTAGATGGTGAAATTTGAGTTTAATGAACAAAATGTGCAGTTAAGAGCTAGCTAACCATTGTCAATTATTTTAAAAGTATACCTGGTTCACTAATGTCCTTTAAGGAAGGAAATATGTCACCCATACGTGGGGTGGCTTACATCTGATTATTAACACTTGGCAACATTCCCTGCTACTCATTTTGTTGCTGTGTAGACATCTGAGGTCCATCCATGCAGTGGCTTTTGGAAGCGGAGCCCAATCATTGGCATGCTGATCGACATGCACAGAGCTGCCTAGTAATTCCACAGCAATGTGATTGTCTCTTAACTACCCTATCAAATGGCCCTACAGAGCCACTATGATCAAGGGGCATTTTGGGATGGGCAGTAAATGCTTGCTCAGCCAGCAATAGTCACACTCCATGAATACATAAACAAAGCAATCTGTGCCATCTTGGCCCTGGGCAATGTTCAAATCCATTGCACAGCAGAAGCTACAATTTATAAAAAAAACTATAAGGCAAATTTCTGCAATACAACTTCCAACTTTTAAAGCTACTGTTCATCAGACTTCTCCACTCTCTTTGCTAACCAACCTTGTGACTTGGCTGTCGAATCAATTAACTATAACAACATTGCTAAATGTGATATCTGCCAAATGCTAGTGCAATTACTGAGAACAGGCAGCAATGCGGACTGATAATAATGCTGCTGGGAGTGTGCTGAAACTACTAAAGAGAGCCTGAAAATCAAACGTTCTGTCAGCCAAAGCCAAATGAAGTTTGGTGAATTCATAATAAAGCTGCTCGGTGCCAATTTCTAATAGGGACAGTTCCAGTCCGGACAATCAACTGAAGAAAAGTAGTACCTACAGCTCTAAACTTCAAATGATTCAGAACATAATTGATCTAACCTGCATTGGGTTCATCCATTGAGAACGCCTTGTTTTCTATGTACATGTGTTGAGCTTGCTGCTCCTTTAAGATGGTCTCATAGCCCACTCCTCTTGTTGGATATACCTCTTCGACATAATGCTGCTCCATACTAGCTTTTGTCAGGTGGCAGATCTCAGGGATGATGTACATAAAGACAAACACCCAGGCATTGGCAACCAGTGCAATAGAGAGTGTTGGATCATTCCAGGTTTGATTTCCGACTTTCTTATTTCCATAAACATACATTACAATCCACACAATCCAGATGGCGATGGAGAAACTAACTGTGACAAGGATAAATATGCCATGTTTCTTCCAGTGTTTAAAATGACCCCACTGAGTGGACACAGCAAGACCAAATGTAACTACGATAAGAAACATAACGTAAATTAAAGCCATAGCAAAATCCATATTAGCAATATTGCAAGGATCTCCAAGAAATGCAGAACTGGTGCCATTATTCCTTACAATGGTGATTATTAACCATTCAGTGTTTATTATCACTTCCACAAGGGTGAGAGAAAGTGCCAGGATAAAAATGTGCCAGGCTTTAGGACCATTGTTTTTTCTTACAAGCAAGTTAAGTCTGAAAGTGTGTGCCAACATGCAAGAAAAGCAGATTGCAAACAGAACGCCAAACAAGAACCTTCTGGAAGCACAGGTTGCGAAGTCCTTGTTGATAATGAAATCAAAAACCAAGCAAAAGAGCCCAAATGTGCCAAAAATGAAGAAAAGCTGAATTCCAATGGGGCTCTTCCTCTTACTGTCTTGGACAAAGGGTATGCTCGCTAATAAAACCAGTGACAGCACAAAGCAACTTAGTATGCCTGCACTGGCTAGAGCTTGTAACACAATCCCCCAGACAGCTGATAAATCACATAGGTTGAAGTAAAGTGAGTCGAGACTAGCAGCACAGCCCACTGGAGCGATTGCTGCGGTCCTGGGGAGGAGACTGATCCACAAAGGAAGCTGCAGTGTGCTCAGCCTCATCTTTAACTCAACTTGGTCGATCTGAAAATGGATTTCGTCACGTACCTAGAGAAGGAAAGAGCGGTGGTTACAGGTTATCAAATTACACTGCAGTCTATCATCGGAAGATTACTGGGTTGGGTCTAAATCAGAGGCCTGCGAGAAAGTGTACCATTGTTTAGAACATCAATGACAATTAACATTTTCGTCAATTTTAAAATAAAATATATCACAACAATTTAAATTCAACACAGACATCAGGATAAAGACAACTTATTGCATACTGAGGAATGTTTTCCTGTTATTTTCAAAAGAAGAATTTATACCATGTCAGGTTTATTTTGAATGAAAGTACTTTTGTACAAGAAATTCCCTGTACAGAAGGCTTTGTGAACAGGAGTATAATTAAGTCATCAAAAGAGTAAACTGCTGGCCTCTTTCCCTTGTTTATTCCCCTGTTACATTTTCCACTCTCCTGTTCTGAGGGTTGCTGACTACACATGACTACAAGGCTACACCAGATCCAATGGGTTAAACATGAAGCTAATATTCGACAGAAATTTGAGCCAACTGAACCACTCCTCGAATTCTGATTGCTCAGAGGAGATGTTGATCTTGCAGCAATTTATCAACTTTTTTTTTAAAAAGTACAAAACATTTTACCAAAAGGTCAGCGTATCTTCTGTGAAATCTGACCGAGCAAAATCTCCCTCACCACGTCCCGCTGCGGGGACCTTTTAAATTACAGCTTGGTCACTACAATCTCTGACAAAGAAAACAAAAACAAATGTCTGTATATTTACAGTGCTTATCCCAGTCTGTTATTTACATGAGGTTTGCTTGATTTCCCAGTCACTTGAGAGGAGAGAATGTTGTTTGTAACCGTAGTTACAGTCTCCTAGTGAGTGAACTCCCTTCCCGAGTGACCATCTCCAGCTCAGCCAGCAGCTTCAGTGAGTGCTGTTACAACCATCAACTATAGCACTCTGAAGACTGACATTTGTGCTGCCTCTATCATCTAATCAATTCTAAAATCGGAATGTAACTAAGTTGTAGTCTTCAAATCATTGAGCAGACTTTGACATTGAGAAAGTTGATAGCCCATTATATATCTCAACAAGGTCAAGGGAAATAAAAAGCATGAAGAAACATAAATCTCACACCGGCCTGATGGTACAAAGTCAAGATCTATCTTGAACAACCTAACACCAGAGAAGTAGGCCATTCACCAATCATGCCTGTACTGGCTCCTTAGAATAGCTATCCATCAGTTCCATTCCCCTACACCACTCCATAGCCCAGATTATACTTTCACTTCATATTTGTATCTAATTCCCTTCCTGAAAAAATTCAGATTTGCAAACTGCCAGTTTGTCTTCAATAGTTCATGTGTGAAATGCACTAAGTCTGAAGTTCTTAATTACTTTTTCAACAAGTTTGAATTATTCCATCATTCTGATCATTTTACAAGTCATTAAAACGAATCCTAATGTCACGACTTATCAAATTACTTGCTAACAGCACAGCAGCCCCTATTCTGTCTGCCCCATTTGCTATGACATTGCACAAATACCATATTAAAAAAGGACACTGTAAAAAGAAAGAACAAAAAACATTTTAACCTCAGTATATTGTACAAATACACTGAAAAGGTATTGTATTGTGTAACTCACAATTGAATAATGCTGATGGACATCTTATTTTCTAGCTTTCAGCTAGTTACGGAAACTGGGCTTATGTGACACATCCTACATCTTGTTCTACACTTCATTAACACTTTTGCTTGTTGATCAATGAAAAGGAAGATGGAATAAAAGCATCAAATGTCTGTAAAACTGTAGATGACCAAGCAAAAAAAAATTCAACTTTAATGAAAATTTTGTTTTCTCAAACTTACAATATATCAGACAAAGTGTAAACTTAGACTAGTGCAAATCAATACCTGCAGGACGTATATAACAAATAGCCGCAATACACAACGATTCAGAAAAAGAAAAACTACTCATGAACTTACTGGTGACTTGTATTCAGTCATAATTATTGATTAAAAGATGTGCATACGTAAATAGTGAAGAACGGGGTCAAGCTTTGGTATGCTTGCCTAATAGTGGGGTAACTCAGTTTGTTTTAAGTTTCATAGATGAGGAATCACTATTCATAGGAACAGGAGTAGGCCATTCAGCATCTTGAGCTTGTTCTGACAATCAATGAGATCATAGCTGATCTGTGGCCTGCCTTGACCCATATCCCTAACAGCCTCCTTAACAAAAACTTTCTACCTTAGAGTTAAAACTAACAAATGATCCAGCATCACTGGCCATTTGTGAATGAGATTCCAAACATCCACCACCCTGTCCATGTAGAAGTGCTTCCTAACATCTCTTCTGAATGGTCTGGCGCTAATTCATAGACTATGTCCCCTAGTTTTAGAAACCCCAGTGTTTCTTTCTGTCTAGCCTGTTTTTATTCCTGTTAGAATCTTGCATATTCAAGAAGCTTGACACCATCCAGGACAAAGCAGCCCACTTGATTGGCATTACATCCACAAGCATTCACTCCCTCCACCATCGACACTCAGTAGCAACAGTATGTACCATCTACAAGACGCACTGCAGAAATTCACCAAAGATCCTCAAACAGCACCTTCCAAACCAATGACCACTTCCATCTAGAAGGACAAGCGCAGCAGATATAGAACATAGAACATTACAGCGCAGTACAGGTCCTTCAGCCCTCGATGTTGCGCCGACCTGTGAAACCAATCTGAAGCCCATCGAACCTAAACTATTCCATTATCATCCATATGTTTATCCAATGACCATTTAAATGCCGTTAAAGTGGGCGAGTCTACTATTTTTGCAGGCAGGGCATTCCACGCCCTTACTACTCTCGGAGTAAAGAACCTACCTGTGACATCCGTCCTATATCTATCACCCCTCAATTTAAAGCTATGTCCCCTCGTGCTAGCCATCACCATCCGAGGAAAAAGGCTCCCACTGTCCACCCTATCTAATCCTCTGATCATCTTGTGGGTCTCTATCAAGTCACCTCTTAACCTTCTTCTCTCTAACGAAAACAGCCTCAAGACCCTCAGCCTTTCCTCATAAGACCTTCCCTCCATACCAGGCAACATC